AGAGATAATACGAAATAACGCTTCCATAATGCTCAGTTCTACAACAAGGAAGTTAACATGAATCAAATAATTACAATTAAGGAAGTATCCACTAAACATAGGATATCTAACTTCTTTCCAATTAAGGCCAATTAATTACACGAGAGATAGAAATAATGCTTCCCAGATAAAGACAAGCAGTTAGGAATGATAATGTGACTATAGAAGGGTAAATGCCTACAGTTAAACAAGTAAAAGTCAATTAGGCAACAAGAATAACCAAAAAGGGCAAATAATTCCAAGTAAGTCATGTAGAGGTGAAACTAATAACAGGGAGCTCAATCGTACCAAGGACAACTTCATATTCGGTGATTATAAGGATCTAAGAGCCTAAAAGGGGCAATTTTCCACAAATAAATCCGAGCACGCACTCGTCACCTCGCGTACAAGGAATACAATCAACAAAGAAGACTCAAATCCTAAGGGGAAGTCCCCCACACAAGGTTAGGCAAGATACTAACCTCGAACCGGCTAAAATCAACTAGCAACAACGTTCTTGCCACGAGTACTCGACTCCAAATTGCCCAAATCTATTCAATTAAATCACAAATTGTAAATAACATCTCAAGCAACTGATTCTACTATTTAATTCAAGGCTACGGCGTGAAATTAGGTGAAATGACCAAAATGCCCTTCAGGCCAACGCCTCGGAATCAAATAATTTTTACATTTTCAGAACCCTCGTATTCTCACGAGTCTAACCATATAAAAATCTCCCAAATCGGGGGTCAAATGCTCACTCAAAATCCCAAAGTTTGGCCTAAGAAGTTCTAACCAAATTCCTCCAATTTTAGGCCCAAATTCGAATTTTAATGATGGATTTAACTACAAAATAATGAAATATAACTAGAAGGGATTAAGAAACGTTACCCAATAAATCTTCTCTTCAAAACCCACTCAAAATCGCCCTCTCCCGAGCTCTCAATTGATTTTGTAACTTATGAACTCAAACCCTCGACATTTCTATTTCTGCCCAGGGATTTCCGCTTCTGCGGTCCCGCATACGCGGAAAAACAACTGCTTCTGCGGTTTTCACTTAATGGACCAGAGTCCGCTTCTGCGGACACATAACGCTCATGCGGTTCCGCTTCTGCGGAATAGCGACCGCTTCTGCGGTTCCTGAGAGGGAGGGCTAATCTCGCTTCTGCGACGACCAAGGCCGCTTCTGCGGTTCCCAAGCCGCAGAAGCGGAAAGATACCAGAAGCAGCAGTGCTGCTACTTCTCAACTTCCAAAACTCTTCCGTTAACCACCCGAAATCATCCCGAGGCCCCCGGGACCTCAACCAAAAGTACCAATACCACCTAATACCTTATTCAAACTTGTACCAATCTTGAAAACACCTAAACAACGCCGGAAACCCGAATTAATCAAAGATTCAAGCCTAAGAACTTCAAATTCCAACCAAACACGCTTTCGATCAAAAACCTACCCTAACCTCGTCCGAATGACCTGAAATTTTGCACACACATCCCAAATGACATGACAGAACTACTGCAACTTCCGGAATTATATTCCGACCCTCGGATCAAAATCTCACTATCGGACCGGAAACTTCAAAAATTCAAACTTCGGCATTTCAAGCCTAAATGAGCTAGGGACTTCCAAAATACATCCCGAACACGCTCCCAACCCCGAAATCACCTAACGGAGCTAACATAACCATCGGATTTCCATTCCGAGGTCGTCTTCACACTGTTCCAACTATGGACCACTTTTCAACACTTAAGCTCTCATTTAGGGGACTAAGTGTCCCAAAACTCTCCAAAACTCAACACCGAACGTCCCGGCAAACCAAAATAGCAGAAATGAACTTAGGGGAAACAGTTAATGGGGGATCGGGGCGTGAATTCTAAAAACGACCGGTCGGGTCGTTACAAACATGCGGGGCTGGTACATTATTGCTGAATGTACCCAATTGAGAGGTATCAAGAATATTGCTGAATCTTTATCATATATCTTTAGTTGTTAAATATTATGATATCAAAGTAATACCATTATTTTATTCCATAGGTTCTTGGGTACTTTAAAATCATATGTTCGTAATGGTGCATGTCCAGAAGGTTCAATAGCAGAAGCATACATAGCAAATGAGTGTATGGCATTTTGCTCACGATATTTGGAAGGAGGAGATTCAAGGTCTTATTGTTCAAAAAAATACGGTGATGGAATTGAACATGAGAATAGTAAAGAAGAATGTCTTTTTTCAATTGTCGGGGAGTCGTACGGTGGAGTAGATGTATTTGAGTTGGATGAGAAAACATGGTTGCAAGCACATCGACATGTGCTTTTCAATTGTGAGTCAGAAGTGGTTGGGAATTATAAAAAGTAAGTGTTATATTTATTATTTAATATATGTATATTACTTATTTAATTAAAAAAATGATATGTGCGAGTTACATTAATATGGAACATATTGCTGAAATCAAGAGATCACATCGTAAGCGTCGTTTGACACAACATCAACTTGACCGTGTGCATTTCGATACATTTCATGAGTGGTTCAAGGAGCATGTAAGTAGTAGGACTAAGTCATTGGTCATGTTAAATTATTGTCCTTGTACAGATATCCACGTTTATAGTTGTATCTTCTATTTGGTTAGGTAAAGGAGTTGGAAGCCACATCTAAGATCTTAAAAGATGTTAAAGTCCTTGCACAAGGGCCGAGTTACATTGCAAAAAGATTCAGTGCATTCGATGTAAATAACGGGTATCGATTCCGAACGAAACAAAGTGAAGAATTCAAGGTGACGCAAAATAGTGGTGTTATGGTCGTTTCAAAGACTGAAAGTTATGCAAGTACAAGTGATAATGCTCCAAAGTCTGAAAATATCACATATTATGGAAGATTGAATGATATTGTGGAGTTAAACTACTATGAAGAATTTAAGGTTGTCTTATTTAAGTGTGATTGGATTGATGTAACTAAAGGTAGAGGAGTTAAGGAAGGTGACTTGGGTTTCACACTTGTGAGTTTCTCACACCTAACAGACTCTGGCGTTCGAGAACGTCATGAGCCCTTTATTTTTGTAGAACAAGCTCAACAACTAATATTTGTACAAGATCCTCAAGATCAGGAATGGTTTGTCCCTAGGTTAATTGAACCTCGAGATATTTTTAATATGGAAGATGAAAATAGTTTGCAGTTTGAGTCATCAATAAAGAGTGATGCCACTGACTTGGCTCTCATAAAAAATGCTCGTGTTCTCGAAGATGAGTATAATGATTGGGTAAGAAGTGGTGTCGATGGGATTGTAATTGATACAAACGCACATTCTCAAGCTTCTCTAAATGATGGTGAAGCTAATGTTGAGGGAGGAAATGACATTGAAAATGAATGTGATTCTACATAAGATAGCTGGAACTTATAGAATATTTTTCTTTCAAGTGTTATTTAAGAACTTCTAAGGTTTAGTTATTATTTTACTTCAGAAATTCAAATATTGGATTTTTGAGTGAGTTCGTTGTGCTTTTTTTTTTACCTTATATTTTGCTTATTGTATCCATTAAATTGTGATATGCTAAGGTGGTATTGTCACGGGATAATTTTGTTGTAGTTAATCAATAACTCTTATCTCTAAAACAATCTTTATTACAATGCTGTGTTTGTATGCACGAATCGCTAATTTTTTTTCACATCTTGAGATAAGGATGATGCTTCCTCCTGCTTTGCATATGACCTGCTGATCTGTTTGATTTAATCTGGTACTAGTATAACTTGATACAACTAGATAATTTCTTTATTTTGGAGAAGGAACTATGCAAACTAGAGGTCACAAGCGACTGATAATTGAATAAGATGATGATGAAGATGTGCGACCTTATATTGAGCAGTTGATGGATGGTCAAAACCACTCTGCAGCCCAACCTTATATAGAGCAGTTAATGGATAGTCGAAACTTCTCTGAATATCAAGCACATGATGAGCAATCTAATGAGTTGAATAGTTCTGCTGGTGGCACAGAGGCTCAACATAATGATGATGAATCAGGTAACACTTTTTTCTGGGATTGCTTTCAAATCTTAATTGTGTGAAAACTTTGATTAATCTAACTAGTTTTTATTGTGTAATTAGCAACTGAAATTTTCTGTAACTTTTATTTTGTACTTTTTTATATAATGTTACTAGCAAAAAAATTAAATTGTTGTTTGCTTGTATTTATTATATCTTCAATGCAAATTTGCTTTATTTTAGAGTATTTGGGAGGGGAAAGAAAAGTTGTTGTGGCTGTGGAGAGGCAGAGGTAGTCTGTTTGTTATGAGTTTGGTGACTTCAGTAGGAAATAAGCTCTTAAAATGTAAAGATTGTTGGAATAAAGTGAGTTGTAGCTTTTAGTTTTCTCTAATAATAGGGGAAGGTCTTTATGCATCAGTAAATGAAGAACTGAAGTGCACTGTTGTAAACTTTTGTAATTCGATTAACATTAGGAATTCCATATCAGTTTTGCGGAAGTATAAGAATTGGTTGCTTTCATATATTTATCTTGTTCCTGTCAATGAGATGAAACAGTGATCTGCTTAAGCTATTAGCACATCTAGTACATGAATGTTATATGGTGCAGAAATTACAGCACATAACATTGATTTAGGAGTTCCTCCATGGGCTTGATTTTATCATTTACATCTTTTAGTTGGTCTACTTATTATGAACATTGCTTTCTGTTGTTTTATCATGATACTGTTATTTAACAGCTTTTGGAGCATCTCTTAGGTGCTTAACCATATAAGTTTTTGCCATTTGATGACCTTCAAGTCTTCCATTCTAGGTAATTCAGAGCCAAGAAAGGTTTGCGGGCCTATTTTACTAAATGATATTTGGAAGCTTCCTCCGGGGAAGATAGTTGATGTGCCGTTTAGTAATCGTAACCAAGCTATTGGGGAAAAAGGTCGAAAGCTTGCTAGCTTTCTAGGAATTATCGCGAGAACTCCAGAACTAACACCTCTACATGCAGATGATTGGAGAAATTTTGACAAGGAGGAAAAGAAGAAATTGGTGGATTTTGTGAGGGTATATTGTTGTTGATGTTATTATCATTATTATTATTATTATTATTATTATTATTATTATTATTACTATATGAACTTTTATACATGATATTTCCTTCTAAATATTGGCTTTATTTTGCAGAAGAAGTTCTCTATCCCTAAACGGGGAGAAGCTTATGTCTTAAAGTCACTAGGAAAGAAATGGAAAGACTACAAGTGCGAGTTAAAAGGTGAGTACATGCGAAAATATAAGACTAAAGACGCTTTGCTGAAAAATAGACCAAGTCGTATACCGAGGGGTCAATGGAGTGGTCTTGTCTCTTATTGGTTTTCGGATAAAGCTAAGGTATCAACAATTAAATCTTTAAAACACCCCTAGTTGATTATTTTCAGTGTTTGGATTTTAGTTATGCTCAATTTTTATTTACAATTACTAAGATGTTCTTTTAATATTTTAACGATAGAGGTGTACCCTAGCAAATAGAAATAATAGGGCCAATCAAAAGATGCCTCATACAGGAGGATCTAAAAGTATTGCTACCTTGATGGATGAGCAGGTAAACCTGTAAAAAGTACTAACTATAATATTTTAAAATACTTTTTTAATGCATATCTCACATCAACTTTATTGTATTAGGATGTAAATGGGATAGAGCCTACACGAGCAAAATTTTTCATATTAACTCATAAAAAACGCAAGGATGGTAGACCATTGGATGATGATTCTGTCAAGGCAATTGTAAGATTTCTTTTTCCTTTTAATTTCTAAATTATGAAATAGTTAGGAAAAAAACTTAAAAGCGAATAAATGAATTCCAAATTGGATTTATTATGTATTCTATTGTTAGGAAATGATAAATGAAAGGACGAGAAATAGCGAGAGCTCTGCTGACCAACCTCCTCGCAGCGTTGCTTGGGAAGGCGATGTGTATTCCCAGGTACTCGGAAATGACAAAAGTGGGTATATTCGTGGCTTAGGACTTGGTCCAACTCCTTCTGTTCTATGGGGTAGTAAATCTTCCTTAGAAAATATTGTTGGGGAGGATTCGTCTAATGAGGCTGTACAAAGGTTAGAACAAGAGATAACCGAGTTAAAGGATAAACACAATGAAGAAATGAACCTGATGAAACAAAATCAAGAGAAGATGCAATCAGAATTACTCGAAATGAGACAACTCATGCGCAAATATACTTCTAATGAACCTATGCCTCAAAATATCGATGGCACCTCAAGTGAACAGGTAACTCGATTTCATAAGTTCTAGACATTCTTAATGAAATTTTAATCCTACAAAAGTATTGTTATCTAATGTGTGAATATTTATCAGGTCCCTGACGCCAACAACGGCCATGAACGAGTACCACAAACATCAAGGATACACAGTGTTGCATAAAATACTTCACTTTATCACGGTACTACTCATCTTTATCCTTCAGTGCACTACTGTTTGAGTTTTTTACTATTTGAAACACCATCCAGAATATTTCTGACTAAAGGTGAAATATTTCCGTTCACTCTCCATGTTTCTGAAACACTACTTATCTTGAATTGGTTTTATACAGTAGGAAAATGGACTACTACACCTGACCACTATTTTTAGATTGAAGTATGAGCAACTATTAAACACAAAAGATTGCTGTTAACTTTTTCCTCTATTTCAGTGGGCAATGGGACTAATTATTATTTCGGAGGTCTTATAAGCTTCACTGTATGTATTGAAACACTATTTATCATTTGGTGTACTAAAGATACTTTTCACCTGTGAAGCTAACTGAAATATAAAAGCATCAGGTTTTGAAGAACATAAAAGCATGTTAGCGTCGGGTTAAAAGCATCATATATTAGCTAGGTAGTGAATTTATGCGTGATATGATTGCATCATATAGATGCTTCAATCTCCTTTTTATGTAAACCCAAGATATTTTGAGCACTTACGTCCCTTTATATTAGAAAAGCTAACTGAAAGCTTTTCTGCCTTCGGTTGACCTGGCAAAGATATTAGTCTGTCAGCTTCTTCTTCTCCCTTGTAATTGGTGGCATTCACAGTACATACTGTTGATACAAAATCTAAAGGAACACCACCATTGCAACTAAAGCTAATTTTCCTTTGGACATATTGTAGTGCTTGGCCCTTAAGGAAATACAGAAAGAAGAAGAATAAAAAGCAACAACTGTAGAAAAGGTAAAATTAAGGGCTGATAGGCAGTGAGATAATGGAAAGTCGAGTGCTATTACTACAACAACCGTGCATCCCCTTGATGATATACACGCACACGTCATTTTGTTGTCCGAGTTTAATTTCTGTACACTTGACAATCTGACATTAACGATAACTATATATCAATTGCAATTACTTAAGTTGGGACTAGTTAGTAAATTTTATTGTCCGAAGATGCTTCCTATTTTCCTCTTGCTGTTTTGTTCCATCGTTTGCAGCAAAATCTATCATAAAAATATTTGGCCAAGTTAACTCAGTGAATTAACATCAGTGGTGTGGGTTCCTCATGTACTACTACATCTTGCAGTTTGTTTGTAACAGAAATAGGAGAAGAAAAGGAAGTAGATCCTCTTTCAGGACATATTGATCTAGCAACTTCCTCAAACCCTTGCACGTTCATTAGTTCTGTTGATTCTGTGTTGCATATCTCTTCTTCTCTGTCCATCAGTGCAACCATAGCAAGCGATTCCCATCCATCCTTACAATCATATGTTCATCAGACTTTCTTGTGTACCTGCTTTATTAGAAAACAATGTATTTTGCACTTCACTAGCGACATCGCACCCTAGATTAAGCTCAGCATTGGCCTGATCAGATGGACTATTTGGACGGTTCTCAGCTTGTTCAAGCATTGTCTTATCACCTGTAGCAGCTACACTATCCAAAATATCAACACACTCAAGTTCTTGCCTCTCATCATGCACAACAATAGATTTAAAGCCTACTGGTTTTCAACTAGTTCAGCACGTGCAACAGTTGCATCAGTCACAACGTTAATCTGCCCCTGTCCATTATTAAGTTGCTGCACAACTTCATTACCTTGACAAACTTAAGTACATCCTTCATCTGAAACATGATCAACAGTAGGGTCTTCAGAGACTTGCTTTACCCCATTGCAGACCTATGAAACCCTACTCAAAGCTGTAGTTTTAGAGCCTGCTGTTTTTTTCAAATGATTCAGCAGGTACAACAGCTGGTTGATCATGTACATGCACCAACTGTACCATCTGTTGTCTTAGGATCCTTCAAATCAGCAGCTTGTTCAGTAGACGATTGAGCTCGATTCCCATTAGGAGTCGGAGCATCAAGTACCGTGATATTCTCACCTTTAGGTTTTGCTGGTGTCACTAATTGGATTTTGATAATGTAGCTACACTGAATAAACCTACCGTTGGCTATAATGATAGCTTTCATGGTGTCTCTAAGCATGGTTGTTTTGGATATGATGATGGTTGGTGGGATCTATTTGATTCTTGCAGCGTGCTGAATCTTACCACTTCACGAAACAATTTACAAGCTCATAGAAAGTGTTCAAACATTAGGGTAGACAATGTGGATTGGTTTGTTGCTATAAGAAATAAAGAAGTTTGAATTGAACCAATGCTTTTGTTTGATTGAACTGTTGATTATTATTTCATCAATTTGAAATTTATATGGTATTTATGAGCTATCCTGGTTTGTCACAGCCCTTGAGGTCTTGAAGAAGTTACAATTAGTGCCGTTTTTGGAGAGAATATTCATATCTGTGAAGTGTACTTTTTGTCATGCTGATACTAATATACCATATGGAAGGGATGTCCTTAGAAAGAAACGAAATGTTTAACCTTCTTTATCTGTAGATTTAGTCGTTACTGACCAGGAACCTTTATCTGGACAGGACTGATTATCACAAAAATCATAGTCATTTATCGTGGCGTAACTTTCTGGATAATACATGAGAAACTAGTTGGAGTGCTTTTCACCCTTATTGCCCTGGAGATCTTGCACACTTTTGAAAGCTTAAATCTTTTTCTGATTTGCTTGATATCTTGCAAATTCCTCTGATTTACTTCTTATCTACACTATTGCAGTTTGATTTATTTCGGTCGGATTTGTTATGTCTTATTCTATAGAAAAAATGGAACTGTCATTCTACAGTAAAACAACTTTAGCTTGGGGCAATGTTTGCTCGATAAACATCCCAGTTGAAGACTATTATATTTTATCTATTGACATAGTTATTTTGTCATTTCAGGTCATACAGTCTGATGATCGATAATTTAGCCGGTGGAAGATTTCTAAATGATGAAGCATTGCAGAAATTATTTGAAGACTATTATTTGTTAGGATTAGTTATATAACAACAATAGCTATTTGCTTCAAACAATATAAGTTTATTTTTTAAGTTACCGTGATATTACTATTTTGGATTAGTACTTCCTTTTGTTTGTTAAGATTTAATGAGATACATTATGTTTTTATGAATCAACATTATTATGTTTTATTATTTGGATCATTTTTTGAATGAATGTAGTAGCTATTATTAATGGTGGCTAAACTATTATCGTTATAGCTTATGACTTAGTGACAATTTAACAGAATATACTGGCTACAAAAATAGATGCTAAAAGGGCAAATTATGATGTTTCCACAGGGGATATTTTAGCCATTATAATTGTTGTTAAAAATAATTTTTAGCGGCAATTTAATTGAATTTACTAGCCATTAAAATGGATGCTAAAAGGGCATACTAATTCGTTTTCAGAAGGAATATTATAGCTATTCTAATTTCCACAAAACAATTACCGCTAAAGCTATGGACCTATAGCGACAAATATTTTGAATTTAGCGGCTATAAAAATGGACGTACAAAGAGCATTAGTAGCCGTTTTTAGATTGGAATTAGCAGCCATCATAATTATCGTAAACAATTGCCGTTAAAACAAATCATATTTAGCGGCAATAAGTCACACCTTTACCAGCTTTTTTGAGAAACGCCGCTAAAAGCTTTGCCGACCCCAATATCAGCGGCTAAACATCAATGGCCGGTAAATGGTATAGCGGCAATTGTTATTGCCGCCAATGACCTTTTTTATTGCCGCTAAAGCCCCTTTTTGTTGTAGCACCGGTGTTGGTTTTGCACATTCTTATGGCTAGTTTCAAGTTGCTCGGCATTGGTTTGAGGTGTTAGTAAGGTGTGAGAGCCGATTGTTAGATTTTGATGCAAGGTAGGTCTCTTGCCTAATCTTGTACGTGGAAATTTATTCCCTATAGGTATTCTAATTGCAATGTGCTACTTGCTATGGGAGCTATTCACGTACGAGTTGATGAGTGTCCGTGCGTATGCTAGATTCTCGACTATATCTGGGTAGACATAGACTTAGATCATGCCTTAACTATACTATCTAAATTAACCTTCCTTGGTTAAATACTTAAATTCATGATTGAGCTTGAGACTAGAATTTAAGTAGTTGATCAAGCCTTGTTACTTTAAGATTTAGGAGGGCTACTTGTTATCGGTAGAGTTATGCTTTCTCTTATTTTCATATCCTTTTGTTGAGCTTATTTGATCGGTATTTCCATGATTACTTAAACTCACACGTATCTTCGCGAGTTGGTCTTGTGACTCGTTGAAAGTGTCATCGTTCTTATGGGATCAGGCTGTTTGCCTCAGCAATATTATGAAATATTCTTAGGTAAGTAGGTTGTTCACCTCGGCAGTATCATGTAACACCACTCTTATGGGATAGGGTCGTTCGCCTCGACAAAATCAAACGTAATATTCAATAGGGAGTCTGTGTATATATGAGTTTCCTGACTCGAGATTTGACATTTATGCCTGATATTGGTCACATATATTCTATTTAAGGGAGTATTTGGTATTTGATGAATTTATATTTATTCTTCTATTATAAATTATGTTATTCACATTATTGTGTTTTCATCACTTGCTATATTTCATACTTGTCTACTTTATTGTCCATTATTTTTTGGACCACTACTAAGTGTAGATGGCGGCCCATCGCTACTACTTTTTTAAGGTTAAACGAGATACTTACTGGGTACGTGTTGAGTTACATACTCATACTACACTTCTATATGAATTGTACATGCACTGAGACAGGTACTTCTGGTGGTCACCCGGGCGAGTAAACGCGCTTGTTGGGAGACTTAGTTTCTGAACTGCCTTCCATGTTTAGGCTTGTAGCACACAGAGTCTCCTTCCTTATTATCTTTGTATTCTATATACTTTTATTTAGAGAGTAGGTGTAGTAGTTTGTATATTCTAATAGATGCTCATGTACTTGTGGCACTGGATTTTGGAAATTTAGACAGTTATCTTTAATTTATCACTGTTATGACATTCAACCTTTTATTTTGTTCATATTTCGTATCTGGGCTAAGATGATGATATT